CCCTGTAAATCTGGGACCCCACCCAGCTTTGAAATGACCATACCAATCTCAAATAGCTTTCCAGAACATAAAGGAAATGATGCCTCCTTCTGTAATAAGCAGTAATCTTATTTGCCTTCATTAATGAGTCTGTTTAAAATTAAGTGTGTGTGTGTGTGTGTGTGTGTGTGTGTGTGTGTGTGTGTTTGTAGGGAGAAAAAAAATTACAGGGCCAAAATTGAGAAGATAAGTGTTAGATTTAGAATCTCTTTGACTACCTTTGGTTTTTCCTTTCATTAACTGTAAAATGTGCACATTCCTCTTTGTGCTAAATCTAAGATTTTGAGTTAGTTTTGAGAATCTTGGGTCTGATCTCTTACTCACTCTTTTTGTTGTTCTCTTTCTTTGTTTCCCTGTACCCTAGATGATTCCTTTAAACACTGAACTTCTAAAGAGCACTTACTGGTATAGCATAATGGTCTAATAAAAAGCAAGCCTTTTCAGGAACAACATATAGTACATAATAAGAAATGTTCCTTTAATTTTCCATACTTTAGTGAACAACTTTTCACAGCAGCATCACACCTACAAGGTGTCCTCAAGCTTGCTACAAAGTGTGTGCAGCATGTTTAAAACAGTTACGTGGAGGCACATTAGGATCCTCAGATGAGTGGTTTGCGTCAAGTCCACTGCATCAGTAATTTTGCAGCTTGTTTCTTTGTACTTTCTTTAAAAAAATCAAAAGTTGTAAAAGGTTTATTTCAGTGCATGTAGTAATGTTTTGTGTGTGATTCTTTGTTCCTGTTCTAAACTGTTATTAACCACTACAGTGAACCTTCTCCTGGGATTGGCCTTTTGGTATTCACAGTGTATTCAAAACCTAATTACAGATTAGTCTATATTTGAGACTTTTGGAATGAGTGTCAGAAGACTCAAAAAGAATTTGAGAGTAGCAGTATCGTTTCACGTGGCGATAAAGAGACTCAAGTCATGAATGAGTGCCAAGTCATGTGAAGAAAAGAAAAAAGGAAGGAACTTCATTCACTGAGGCTGACGGTTTATGAGTTGGGGATTATAGGAATATTCATGACTCAATCAAGAAGCACAATGAATTGATGTTTGAAATCGTTCATCTTTTAGGTAAATATTGGATAAATGGAAAGTAGATTCTGTATTCACTGTATGTAGAATTGGCTATTTCAGTGAAACAGAAATAGAAGTATCTTAATCCCTTCCTAAGTAGGTTTAATTTATCAAGTAAATCACAAATTTTACAAGAATTCTCCAACTATAAATATTTAGTACAAATATTTAACAGAAAAGGGAGTTTGCTTTATAATTAGTCATGATAAGCCGTACACATTTCTGTGGGAAAGTAATTTCTAATGGTGAAATAGCTAAATACACTAAGAGTTGGGGATGTGAAAACACTAATCACTGAGACATTAATTTAGAAGGATCAGAAAATAGAAAGTTTTAATTGCTAACTCTCAACATTGATTTTTATGGGTAATTCCGTTTTCTGTGCAGTGGATAACATAAGACAGTGCTGAAAACTTACATCAGAATTTAAAATGAATGAATTCAAATATGGGGAATAATCCTGCTTATTATTTGTAATACAGCCTCCTTCTAAAGCCTGGAATCAGTTTCCTTTCTAAAGCTGTGTCCATGGTGTGGTTGTGGGTGTGTGTGTGTGTGTGTGTGTGTGTGTGTGTGTGTGTGTATAGTCAGCATCTTTTAGCCTTCTTCATAAGATGCAATCTAATTTGAAGTTTTGTTTTGTTTTCCACTGAGGATTCTGTTTAGTGTTGCTCATGTGATTCACATGGCCCACCAGCTTGTCTTACTCTTCATTGTCCCTGTGGACCTTGCCTCCTACTCCCAGGTTTGCTCCAGCTCCTGTGGTCGTGGCTTCTGCCCTTTTGGTCACTGCTGTAATGTCCAGGAAGCCTGTCGAGTTGTTTTGTTTTCTTTTTTTTTTATATAACTGATAGTCCTTATTTTCTATGCATATTTTTTGAAACTGTCATTTATCAGTACCTATTGAGCATGTATGTATACTTAGTCAGACATTGTTGTAGATACTGATGATGCTGAATTTTGGGGGGACCAGTTTCCTACACATATTGTTCTCAGGAGTTTCTCCAAATGTGTATAGTTCTAGTCTGCTCGAAAGGTGACAATATTCCTCAGGGGATGATAATGTTTTATATATGTATTTTTAGCCATCGCTAGCACCTAGGAGGAGCTTGGCAACTATTCAATTCCATAGTTTTTACTAAAACATGTCTTATTTCACATAAAAACACAAAATTTATAACAAATACACTGGAAATAATAGCCTTTGTCTTGTTACCACTTAAGAGTGCACATGTGGCAGTGGGTCTAGTGTGTTTCTCATTCAGAGGAACGTGACAGGGACTCTCAGACTTAATGTTCTCAGCTTTGGCACCAGTACCTGCAGAGCAGTATGAGGACCAAAAACAGTGTGGGCTTTGAAATCACCCAACCAGAGCAGATACTTCATAGACTTGGAATGAGGGTAGCGAGTAAGCAAAGAATGCTGCTCGGAGGCAGGAGATCATCTGTGTCCATGTCACTCCATTAAGTACATTTATAGGCAAAGGAATGAACAAAGAAATGAATTTTTTTATTTAGTGTTAAAAGGACTAAATAAAAAAATTATCACAATTCTTATTTTTTAACATTTATTTCCACTCTCCTCTCTTCCCCCCATTACTTCCTAAAATCTTATTAATTGTCGCAGGGGATAGGGATACAGTGTCCTGATACTCTCATTGTAAAATATTAGTAAAAACAGCTTTTTATGGGAATTTTTGAAATATTTTTTCTCTGTGGTATTTATATAATAGTTAAATACTCCTTTTACTTTCATTTAGAAAACAACATGGCTTATCTCTAATTTTGGGACAATTCATATTTGATGTAGACACCTGCCGTCAAAGTGGCTCTTGGTGTGTTTCAATACAAATAGATGTTGCTCTGAAAGTCTCTTGAGAGGGATGCTCCTATATCACCCTCTCACAGACTGTCTGTCCCCTGAGGATGGAAGGCATTGGCAGGGCACAGGGATGGCTAGAGCCGGCCTGCAGCTGCCTGATTGTACTCAGATCGTGGAGCAAATAGAATCAGAGTTCCTCTCCTCATGCAATCCAGCTTCCCAATTAGAAACAATTCTCAGTGAATGCTTAGAGAAGCTGCTACGGTTCTAAACACCTGTTTTAGATTTCCATTTGTTGTGTTATTGAAGCTAGATGATTTTTTTTAAAGACTCATACATTTCTAGAATTCTGTGAGACAATATGCAAAACAAAGTTTTCTCCTACCCTTCCCCCACTTTTTAAAATTCTTTAACTGATGCACTGTATTACTATGCGGACCTCTGTATGTATTCATCGAGGAAAATCAGTGATGCTGTTTCTAAGCAACTAAATTAATTCATTTTAAAGATAAGAATGTGGCCTTATTTTGATAAAGGAAGTTTGCTTACTGAGTTGCCATTATTTTTCCTAATTTGCCTAGTTTAATTTTTATATAAGGAGTTAATGCTGCCTTTGTGAACACTATTATCATCATATTTTCTCCTTGAATAATTTTATTAAAACAATAGGGTGTTTTTTTCCTATAGGTTTTGTACTCATCTTAAAGTACCAAGAATTAGAACTGTTAAATGACTGGAATATGACAAATGTAAAGACTGTATTCTTCATAAGCAACCATGATAGGCTTCGTTGAGTTCCTTTAATGCTAATAGGAAGTCATATAAAGAACATTCTTTTTATTAGCTGCTTTTCACATGTGCTGTCTCACTAGTAAAAAAGAATACTTCCATTTTTAATATAAAAATGTAAATGTTGATTATTAACGTTTTATATGATTTTTCTATATTTCTAAAGTAGATGCTCTGCATTTATTCCCCAGCATCACTAGCTTTTAACAAGTCACTTCACTTGTTAATTCCCATTGATTGGTTAAATTGTGTTCAAAGAACCAAAATATTTGCTACTATGCCTACTAAACCTACATTTTAAAATAAGAGTTGCACGATTAAGTTAGAAGCAAAATAGGATAAATCACAACTTTCCCATGTTTAATGCTAAGAGATTGGCATGTTCAGTGAATAGTTTGCATTTGTGAAGGAAATCTTTAGAGAATTTATAGATTTTATTTTGGAAGTCTATGAACATCAAAATAAAACAAAATAAAATAATAAAATAAAATACATAAATCTGGTTTTAGTGGATCTGTTGTTTTTAAGCTTTTCTTCATTCACAACTCAAATGGTACATTTTTGCATGTATTTTAAAGTGTTAATTACCCTTTTCATGTTTGTTGCAAATATTTCCTACAATTTCTTTTGTCTTTTAATGTTAGGACATTTGACATATACTGTGTTTCTCCGAAAATAAGACATCCCCCGAAAATAAGACCTAGCGCAACTTTGGGAGAAAAAAGTAATATGAGACACTGTCTTATTTTCGGGGAAACAGGGTAGGTGTACATTTTAATGTGGCCATATTAGTGGATCTTTTTCTTTGTACCTAAAAAGTTATTTCCCAGTCTAAGACCAGTTAATTACCTGTATTCTCTTTTAATTTTTTAAAAATTGTTACATTATTTTATTTTATCCTTTGTTCCAGATATTGCTAACTGTGTCTTTAGTCAGACTTAAGAGAATCTGAGAACTCCTTAAAAATTGATATACGTAATAATATATATATACATTTATTCATTTTTCTGTGTAAGATTCCATAGCTTTCATTAGAATCTCAAAGGGTCTGTTATAAATCCCATACCCCCTTTCCAAAAAGGTTTGAGAGCTGCTACTACAAGCCACATGGATAGAAGGTGGTGTGTGGTGATAAAGGCATTTTCTCTCCTTTCCCAAACAGTTAAAAGTATCCCAGACCATTTATTGAATGATTGTCTTCTATGATTTGTGATGCCTTTGAAAGGTAAATTTATTTCAAAGTTATTATCTCTTTCTATCTCCACAGAGAAAGTTAGAGAAATTCAAGAAAAACTTGATGCTTTCATTGAAGCTCTCCATCAGGAGAAGTAATTGTAATAAGTGAGTAAAAGTCCTCTTTCTATACTGTACTGATTAAATGCAAAAATTATATTTTAAACTTCTTTTAATAGTTTATCATTCTTCTCTACTATATTCTACCTGCTCCTTAATAGTAATTTGAATGGTAGGAAACTCTTAAGTTTCATGTGTAATTTTTTTTAATAACTTGATTTTCTTTTAATTGAACTAAAAATATTTTTTAGAACTTGTTTTGAACAGAACAAAGGTGAACAAACTAAGATATTTTATAATAGCAGATGGCTCATAAATTTTCTGCATGTAAAGAATTGAACTCTAGCTCTCATTATTTTATTCCCCTTTGTTCATATTTGATGGATAATTAAGTATATGTTAACTGCAAATATCTTTATTTGGCTTGAAAAAGGATTTCATTAATTGTTCTTAATCTTATTCTCTTATGTTTAAAACATTTAAATAACCTTTTTCCTGTTTAAAGTAACTTAGAATAATAGCCTTAGAATTTAGTACTCTTCTATATGTGGACTCTCTAATTCTGTAGTCTGGCATTATAAATATGTTCCAATTAAAATATTGTATATTGAAAGACTTTTCTTAGCATAGTCAATTGTTAATTATCACTGAAGAATTATAATTAATAGGTCTTTTGCTTTTATGAAGAAGTGAAGAAAAGGAAAATGCTCTGATTAAGAGATTATTTTTTATTTAAAATACTAGAGGCCCAGTGATTAAAAGCAAAAATTTGTGCACTTCGTTGGGGGGAGGGAAGGAAAGGGTCCCTCAGCCCAGCCTGCACCCTCTCGCAGTCCAGGAGCCCTCGGGGGATGTCCGACTGCCACGGTGGTGGAAGACGCTCCCACCACCACCACTGTGCTCACCAGCTGTGCGCCTGACTTTTGGCTGAATGGCTTGTGGGAGCACACTGACCACCAGGGGGCAGCTCCTGTATTGAGGGGGATCAGGTCAAAACCAGCTCTCCAACATCCCCCAGGGGTCCCGGCTTGCAAGAGGGCACAGGCCAGGCTGAAGGACCCCACCGGTGCACAACTGGGGCTGGGAAGGGATGTGGGAGATTAGCCAGCTGGGGAGGGTCTGTCCGGGTTCCAGGGTCTGTCTGGCCCATTTGGCTCAGTTCCAATCAGCCAGATTCCAGCAGCAAGCTAACCTACCAGTCAGAGTATCTGCCCCCGGGTGATCAGTGCACATCCTAGCAACTGGTCAACTGTCTGCCCCTCTGGTGGTCAGTGCAAGTCATAGCAAGCAGTTGAGCAGCCTTAGCATATCATTAGCATATTATGCTTTGATTGGTTGAATGGATGACCAGACACTTAGCATATTAGGCTTTTATTATATAGGATATCATCACTTTATTGTGAGCCTTATCCTAAGCAGCCTGTGTAATGCAGTCAGAACTGGAAGGAGTACAAAAATGTGAAGTAGTCTCTCCCTAGCTGTTCTCAGTTCAGAAAAGGACCTTAAACCTCAAACTATCTGCTTTCCTCTGCTGTTGGGATAACCTGTTTCTGAAAGCAGGCGAGAAAGGGAAGTGTACACCAGCAATGAATGAGAGAGGACGAAGTTAGAGAGCTTTGGAGTACAGCCTTGTGACTTGTTTTTGTTTGTCTCATAACTTAAGACAGATGAGCAGATGTATACAGAGAGTAAAATCCAATCATCTATAACACAAGCCAAAAATAATTCATTGTTTTTAAGTGTCTATGTTTGTAAAAGTTTTACACAACTTCAGTGTATGAAAATTTTCTTTTAAAATCACAGAGTATTATGATATCTCCTTTGTCATCACAATAACTAGCAATAGTTAATGTTAGAGATAAACATTTCGACAGCCTTCTTGATTTGGAAATTCTTCAGCACCGAATTCATTTGATTTGTTTGTTTACAAATGTGTTTTGGAGGGATGAAAAGTCATGAATGTCACAGAAACTTCATTAAAAATGTAAGCTACATTTCTGTCTTTTTTAATGAAAAGCCAGCCAGTGCTTTACACAGTAGTCCCTTCCTCAGATGGTCAGCGTGACAGCTAGAGTTACTGTTGCTGCTGAAACAAGCCTTTTGCTGCCACCGTGTCTGTCCTAAGTGCAGGCTCAGGCGATCCAAAGAGCCAGGCGGCGATGGTACTTGTACATAGAAACCATCCCACTTTCTTTGCTCCCCAATTGTCTGTAGTTTCTAAGGCCCTTCTCATCTCTTGGGAAGTATGACTCTGTGAACTATTACAAATATCTGTGAATTAGAAAAGATTGTTTTTAATGTACCTTGCAAATTCACTTAAAAGAATAAATCTAGCAAAATGGTAGCCTTGCTTTATTCTGATCATTTTATAAAAGTTACGAAGCATCTTAAAGAATAGTTTCTCAGTGGTAGTTTTAACATGTGTTGAATTCCTCTGCTTATTTTAAGTAAATAACTAATTCTGATACTTGCTGAAAATGTTTATTCCCATCACTATCGTACATAGAGTCCATTCCTCCTACTGATCAGTTTAATATGCTATGTTTTTACTTCTTTCTCTAAGAAATGAACTTCAGTATTTTTTTATTTATATATCATGTTTGATAAAATTATATTCGTTATAGTATATTTTAAATTTAATAAAACTAGCACATTACAAACTTAGACAGTTGAGCATTGGTATTTTTGTGATCATTCAGTAATGTCTCCCCAGACTTAAAATTATCAAATGTGTTTATTTTTGCAGAACCCTACTTATTATATCATCACCTCGGCATATATGAAGAATGAAAACTCCAAAGTCTTTTCCTGCCTTTTTTCCTTTTGCTATCCCACCTTTCCAAACATAAAATAAAGTCATGGGGTAAAAATCACTCATGTGTGTTAGAGGCACCTACACCACCAGCTGCCTTTTGAACAGAAGAGCAGGGTAAATGTCACTAGCATCCTATTTTATTGTATTGAAGTGACAAATTGGGGAATGTAAGTGGTGTGACCATTAGGTTCAGTCCTTAGAGATAAGAAACTTGCTCTCCTGCCTGTTGTCTCACTTGTGGTGGCACTAGTTCAACTAATACATTAGCTAATGTAACTCCACGTCAGTGTCTTTCCCAGAAAAAGAATGCTAGGTGTTTTAAATAAAACTTACAGCAATTTTCTAACAATTATCAACTGTATATAAAATGATGGTAACCCGCTAAGTTGCCTGTATCTGTAGTGTTCTATATCCAGAAACTCTTTGACCACAATAATTCAGTTTATATTCGTCACATGGAAGAAAACTAACAAGAGAGCCCCTCAAATCAGGTTATTTGGATTATAATTCCACGAACATTCAGTGAAAAAGATTTCAGCCCTGCGGAGAAGCCAAAGCACTAGCAGCTTACCTATTTGATTCAGTTGATGTTTTTGTACTCTCTGTATCCATTTGAAATTCATTTATTTTGGATGTTGTATACTTAAGCTACGCTTTCTGTTAACAGTGTTTTTTTACCTGTTGACAGAGCTATTGGGTTGTGACACAGAATAGGGAAGATTACGAATAATCAATTGACTAATTACATTTAGACTATCATCAAACATTTCACCTAGGCATCAGGAAAAGGCCTTCTTTCATATGACTATTTTAAATAGAAATTATTTCAACAATTAGAATAATGTTGACTATCTCCCTCTTAACTGAACATTTAAAGGAAAATAATAATATTTAATTTATTGCAATTCAATTACAATAACACCCTCACAGCATTTTCATGTTTTATAAATATTTCTTATTGGCTAAAGGGCTTTAAAGCAAAGAAATAAGCCATTTTTTATTTAAAGTATCTTTCTCATTTAACTCCGCTCTTTGCTGCCATCTCATTACCTTTGTTATTCTAATAAAAATACCCATTGTGTGAAAGTTTTTATTTTACAGTTTACTTAATTTTACAATTTTTTTGGAATTGTGTTTTGGTAACATTTCCTTACCACCCGACATTTTTTTAAAATGTAGCATCAATATGTCCTTCACCATGATCTCTCTCAAGATCTGATACTTAAAATGCAAGTTTGAAGGATAATCATGAAGGACAGAAATTTAGAGTCCAATGAACACTTGTTTTATACCGTTCCATGAGCAAGGCAGACCCAGCTTTCAGCAGCTGGTAGCAGGTACATTGTTACTTGGTAGAGGAGTGGGCAAGAACATTTCCTGTCTCTGAAATGTAGGGATAGTAGGGAAAGGAAAGGGGGCTCCCCTGTGAGAGGACCTTCCTAGTTAATTTCCTCCAACTAGTGCTGACCACAGGTAAACCCCGCACTGAAGCAGACATCATGCAATTATTAATTCTTTTGTAGTTGTATAGAACTTTACAACTACAAATCTACTTCTGAATCAAAAAAGAAATAGGACCATATTTATTTCTAGATAGGAAAAAAATGCCCTCATTTGCATTTCCACTGATTTCTCTTAAGAAAAAGGCTGATGTTAAGTAAGTACTTTTATCCCACCCCCTTGAATAAATTTAAGAAAGGGGGTAGGGTGTCCTTATTTCTTTGAGACCAGTATTTGTAATTTAAATATATAAATAGATGGTAAAAATGAATATTATTAAAAGTCCCATGTAGGAGTCCAGACGTTTTCCCATCCTCCTCAGTAATATGACATATCTCATGGGTAATATATATATTTTCTTTTTTGCTGATCTCATACTAAGCATGCTTTTTTTTTTTTTTTTTGGAAGCTAAGTACTTACTAAAAGCAGATGTTAATAAGAAAATAAAATTATGATTCTCAACAGTAAATCCTCTGTGTTGTGTCTGTAGTTCAAAAATTACAAATGACTCAGATTTAAGTCACTTCAGAAATCCAATGTACAGAGGTTAAATTCTAACTAGACTAGGAATTATTTGTTTTTTCATTATTTGGGATTTTCCAGAAAATGGAGTGAACAAAGCTGTGTATGGAAGATTGAACAACTGGAAATAAATTATTACCTAAAATGTACTCAGTCAGGCTCTCAATTTAACATTCGGTCTGGAGGCAGTGCACAGTAGGA